CTTTCTCCTCATTGAAGTACAGCTCACGTCCGCCGCCGGAAGCGAACCGAAAGGGAGAGTCCTCTGAATTGCAAAACCCGAACAACGGCTCAATATTCTTGTTCTTGAGGGCGAAATCGATGTCCGATGTGTTCACTTGTCGTCGCTTTGAATGCATCGCAAACTTAAGCGACTCCTGAAGAATGCATTTGACACGATATGTCACGTCTTCGGCCAACTGTCGGGAGGCGTCGTCAGTGATGTTAGAGATGCCCAACTGATCGGCGATTACTTTGATTGAATCCACGCCAAAGTGGCCGACAGTGGACGCCGACGGCTGCTTGTCTTTGGCCGCCATTCAGTCGCGACTATCAATCGCTTTATCTTCTCATCGCATCAAATGGTGAGGAATCGGATGAATACTTCGGCGCTTCGGATGTCAAGTGTGGGTCCAATCGACTGATTGTGTCATTAATTCAATTGTTATTCAATTCAAAGCATGCATTCATTGCTTGAAAATTGTAAAACAAATCAAATAAAAATTTGAGTCAATATTTTTGGCTTTCAATTCACAAATCAATTACAACTTGAGTTGAGTTGAGAGCCAGTGATAGGGAGAGAGTACGGTTGAAAAATGCCCGGCATTTAATATATATGCCCTATATGCCCGGCACGTGCCCGGCATATGCCCGGCACGTTTCTATCCAAAAAGGCACCACACCAGATGGCGTAAGTAGTAAAGTGTGTCATCCCCCCATTTTGCCCCCAATTTTCCCCCAATTCGCCCCCCGAATTTTATGCCCAACTGGGCATAAAATATATATGCCCAAAATGCCGGGCATTTATGCCTAGGCATATGCCCAGTGGGCATAATGCCTAGTAGGCATTTTCAACCGTATTTGTGACTCATATGCAGTAAACATAGACGCAAAGTGTTGTCACACACGCTGTACTCCAATCGTGTAGTTATGTATAGGGAATGAGTACAGCAGTACAGCTGATATCGGTATACAATAGGAGTGTAGTGTTTGTGCGTTGACTGGAAAACGAAAGTTGACGTCAAATGAAACGACAAATGATTTTATTATTAATTTTTAATTGAATTTAGTTTTAGTTTACAATTAGTTTACAATTATATTCACATTATATTTATTACATATTTATAACACATTTGTATTCATTGAATATATCGTTATTTTTAATTCAGTTTTAGTCTTGTTTTCAATATTCATGTATTTATTTTCAAAGCGTTTTATAATTTGTTTTGTTTTTACGTTGTATTGAATGTGAACTCAATTTACACTCAATTATCAGTCAATCATTTGATCCGACGATTGGTTTACGAGAATAACAGTGACATCGATTGGTGACCAGCGATGGCTCAGGCGTTGGCACAACAGGCCTTCGATGAGATAATCGAAGAGATCGAGTCCAACAATAGCGGTAATAGCAATGGTTTGTCCGATTTGTGTCAGACTCTGGAACCGATTGTGATTCGCGGCAACGGAAACATCACTCTATTTGGTCTCTCCAATGGCTTCACCGACTCATTCCCATCCACTCTATTGGGAAGGGTTTCGCGCGAAGAGTTTGAGAGCACTGTTCACCGAATCAATGCATTACTTCGGGCCCAACACTCGACAAATGCCAAACTCCTGATCCTCGGCTGTCTGTGCTGTTGCTGTTCGTTGGGATGTTCTCTCTTGTGGCCAACACTCGCCCTCTCAAAGAGGACCAAAAACTCGTTGGAAAAGGTATGCAATCATCCAATCATGTGATCATCCAATCACTCCTTCTAATCATACAAAGCCTTCCTATCAATCGCTTATCACTTGAAATAAAAAAGCAATCATTGATTTCACTTGACTTTAGAGTGTATTTATAGTGCAATTATTTGTGATCACTCGTGACCACAGCTTTATCACTACTTTCGCTTTCATTACCTGAAGACTAATGTTGTAAACAATTGATTGATTAACCAAAATGAATGACTTATTGTTTTAGCTGTTGTCTCACGAGAATTACAAACTGTACCACAAATTGGGTCTTAATTGGCGTTTAGCTAAACAAAGATGTCATACGAACCACTCGTTCATGGAGTACGTGCTGGTCATCGAGTTCTTACCAAAGCTTCAATTATATCAACCGGACTGACGGACTGACCGCACTGTCACCACAAGACCACCGGTGCTCTCATACCTCAATCACTAATACATACGAACCTCATAAGTAGTGGTGAATCTCATGGCAGCACAACTCCTGACTACACCAGACATCGATTCAAATGGAAATATAATTAATATATAAATATTTAGAAAATTTATTTAATTATATTTATTTTGTTCAACACTTAAACAAATGGCTAATCATTTGAATCATTTCTGATACCAAATAAGAATTCATTTTTCATCTTTTTATCTCTTTCTGTAAACCAATGATTAAATCATTTCTGTATAATATATTAATATTCAAATACATATAATATATATTATAATAAATTCTTAACATAACTTCATAAAACATTCAATCAATTCGTTATTCATTGTCACTATAATTGTGTTTTTAATTTATTTAATTTAAACCATTTTTCAGATATTGCTTTAAAAACGCACAAAAACTCAAATTAATTTCAATGCATGAAAAGTTGACGCTTTCCTCATAAAAAGTTCTAATATTAATGATGAGAATTGGAAAACAAGTGTTATATCAAAATATAGTCAATATTGCTTTAAAAAACGCACAAAAACTCAAATTAATTTCAATGCATGAAAAGTTGACGCTTTCCTCATAAAAAGTTCTAATATTAATGATGAGAATTGGAAAACAAGTGTTATATCAAAATATAGTCTAATTCTTACCATAATATTGAGTCTCGTGTGAACTAATTAGTAAATTGGATGCCTTTATTAGGCCTTTCACGACATGCTATTCACAAATATTCAATCAATATTTGTATTCAAACCGCTTTCATAAACAGATCTAAATTATATTTGACGTCAAATCAATTGCAATAATTTACAACATTTTAAAATATTTTACTAAACATTTTACATTAACAGTAATTGTGTGAATAACTTATAATAACAATAACTTGTTGTCAAAAGATATTCTTCAAATAGTTTTTGAATCAAACTTTCAATTTCAATGAATCAATACTTCAAAGACCTATACATGTATTGAAACCCAAACTTATTGATAAACTTTGTGATTATGATTATAATGATTGAAATGTACAAAATGTATGAAATCAGTGCTCACAGACAATCAAATGATTACAATTTAATCATTAAATGTACAGTTAATGAATGTAACGGTAAATGATTACACTTTTGCCGACAGAGGTGTGGATACAGTGCGACCCACTTATAGGCGACCCTCTCGTCAAACAAACTCCTCGTAACTAATGATGCGTTCAT